GTACTTTTCGTCCCTCTCTTTTCCTTTTCATCGGCGCGTGAAAACGTGCTCAAAGTCGAGGGACCTTTGGGAGAAAAGTTCGATCTATTCGCAAAGAAACGAAAAAGGAAGGAAGGAAGGAAGAAAAGAAAGAAAGAAAGAAAGAAAGAAAGAAGGGTGAAAAGAGGAAAGAGGTAGGAGAGGGTATCTAAGGAGCAAAGTGTCGAAATTCGACGAGATCGCGATGCCGACGTCCTTTCATAATCTATCCGACGAGGGTGCGAACTTTGTTTCCGCGTTTGGTCACATTGAGAAAATGATGAAGGGAGTAAAAGGAGGAGGAGTTGGAGGTGAAGGAAGAGGTGAAGAAAAGGGAGAGGAAGGGTAGAGAGAAAAAGGAAAGACTTTCGCGAGACTTTCCAAGTCCTTTTCGTCTTTCCATCCCCAAATCTATTCCAACGACCTTCGTCCTTGGTATTTTCCCTCCTTTACTTTCTCCTTCTTCTCCTTCTCCTCCTACTCCTACTCCTACTCCTACTCCTATTCCTCCTACTCTTCTTAGTTTTCTTCTTTCTCTTATTTCTTTTCCCTTTTCTCATTCTCATCCTCATCCTCATTTTCATCCTCTTCTTCATCGTTACTTTCGACGAAGGCAACGCCTTCGAGGGGAAACTTACGATATCATTACCGGATGAGCTATCATTTCCAAGGCTGCGCGTGCAAGTGCCGTGACCGGTAAGGTAATCGAAACACGTGTGTGTGTGTTCGTATTATTATTACGAAGCAACGATGCCGGTTATTAGATGTAACGCGAGTCGAACTTTCGATGTGGAATATTATGTTGAGGGGATACACGAGGAATATCATTTTTCTCATCCTTTGTCTCCAAAATAAAAAGATAAAAGAAAAGAGAGATAATTCGTTCGAGTTCGTTGGAAATTTTAATAATAAAATTTGAATATATATTTAATAATTAAAAGTTGAATAATAAAATTTTATCCAACGATATGCACATGTTTGTCATCATTTATCTCAATATACAATTGTCAATTGATATATATGTATGTATGTATGTATGTATGTATGTATATATAAATATATATATATATATATTTTTTTTTTCGCTTATATTTTTTCACGAACTTGTATAGATACGTATGTCCATTTTAGATAAATTTTTACGTAATTTATTATCTTTAATTGAAAATCGTTGATAATATTGGAAAACAATAATTTCTATTGGAAAAATTAATTAAAATAAAAATAATAAATTCATATAACTGGTGTATAATTCAATATATGTAGATCGATTTTTTTAAGTTTCGATTTTTCAATCGGGAAATAATTTATTTTATTTGAAAGAACCGAGAGTTTGAAAATTCTCCACATTTAACTTACATATGTCGGTCGTTTTAAAATTTGATAAGTTTATTATTCAACGCGTCATCCTTTCTTTGGAGAATGCCGCGAGATAAATAGAAAGAGGATGGATGATGGTATATCGTTAGACGTAAAAATTATAGCGCGTAGGTGTCGGGCGTATTTTCCGATGGCATGTAGATTTACGGACCGTTAACTCCAACGAATTTATATACGCCTTCTTTTTCGCGAGGCTGCTATTCGCGACCAGGCGGACTTTATTATTCGCTTCGCGCCTACGCTTCCCGCTCTCTCGCTGAACGTCGACCTTACCCTAAACTTTGAAATTATGACCGTCCGATGTTATAAGCTATGACACGCGGGCTACCAGAAAAGAGAAAAAAAGGTGGAGAAGAAGGAGGGGAAGAAGAAGAAGGAGGAGGGGTTTTGCATGAAAAAGAAGAAGTACATAAGTAGGTAGAATAAATGTCCTTGATGATTTTCTCCTGGGTTACGAAAAAACTTCACCGATTCGAAGTTACGATCGTCTAGACGTAAAAAAAAACCAAAAGTATTCATTTATTTTTTTCAAATGTTATTTTTATACTCTCAAGATTATAAAAACAATGAGAATATTAAGATTAACGTGATTTTAATACGTGATCATTGAGAGCATCAATCGGATTTTCTCAATTTTGCAGAATATGATTTATGACATTTTAAATATATTCTTTGTTAACATTTGACAAGATTAAATATTTAATAAGATTAAAGTCTTATATCAAGAGTATGGCGATGAATCTTTCTGTATATATTTTATCTAAATCAAATTATGAATAATATTAGATGAAGTTATTAGATTCGTGTAAGATTGATTCGTTAGTCCAACGCGTTAAAATACATTTTCTGATAGTATATTCCTTTCATTTTTTTATTTACAAAAATAAAACATATAAAGAGAAAAATACATTTTATTCGTTACGAGAGTTGAGACTGATTCGAAGAAATCGTTCTTTTTAAAAATGTTTATCGATATATTTAATTAGTTACTTAACAATTAACGAAATCGGGTTTGTCACATAACAACTTGTCTTTAACTTTTCATATATCCACCAGTGATGAAGTATCTCAACGATCGAATGAAAGAAAAGAAAATAAGATTACATACATATATCGAAAGATAAAAGATGAAGTTGAACATGGTAGAACGCCATGGCGATTCGAAAGCTCTCGGAATGTTGAAAAATGTTATAAGAGTGAGATCACCCTCTAGGGAATATCGACGAACGTAAAGGTTATTTCTGGATCACGAAAACTTTTAATAGCTTTCTGATAACTTATTGCTCGAGCTTATAAATAATTTTATATCTTGTGTATCTCGCACGGTCTTTCGATTCCTTCCACTATCTATCCTTATCTTCTTCTTCTTATTCTTTTTTTTTTATTTTTTTTTTTTTCATCTCTAAAACAAACATTTTCTCAAAAAATAGGACAGAATATATAATAACAATTTGTTTCATAGAGACGGATACACGTTATATATTATATTGTAACCATTTGTGCATAGATAAAATAATATATAAAATATAATTGTAAATTTTTAAAATATGCATTTGTTTAATCGAAAATATTTTTAACAACTTGTCTTCGTATAATAAAGACAACTATTTCATTCATAGATAAATATCACAATGATATTTTCGATGGATGAATACTGATATAACTGTGCATGAAATATGACAGAAATAACGAAGGGAAAAAATGAAATGAAAGAAAAAAAGATAGGAAAAAAAAGAAAAAAAAAGAAAAAAAAAACGAAAAGAAAAACAAACTTAATAATTTTCGAGAAATATATAACTAGATACTTTTCAGTCTCCTTCTTTTTTCCACCGTGAAAAATATTCAATTACGCGTCGGTGCATTAATAAACGAATGTACGGTTTTGCGGTTCGGCGTAAGATTAATGATACACGCGTGGCACAAATCCATAACGGTCTAGCAGTGACGGTACTCGAGGGTGAAAGTATTAAATTCAACGGGTAGCTTTAATTAAATCGAGTCGCGTCTGCCTCTGGAAGTCGAACGAGCTTTGCGCGAAAGGAAGAAAGAGAGAATGAAAGAGGAAGTGAGAGAGAGAGAGAGAGAGAGAGAGAGAGAGAGAGAGAGAGAGAACTGATATACCAAGAGAAAATGAGAAAGAAAGGGTGAGTAGAGTATGAACTGGTGTATGGGTTATTAGAAGGTGGAGGAGAGTCACAGATATATCCCTTAACATTGGGATACCGCGGGAATAATCGAAGATGGCAGATAGTAGTAACGTACACCCTTTCAGTGTTGCCGCGTTATATAACCGCATCTCTCCGCACCCTACAATACACTTCTCCATCGGCCCATCTGGTATATAGAACGTGTGTACATGTAAATAATATGCAGCATTGCCTGCAAACCCTTGTGGTTGTAATCATAGAATTGTGCAATATCGTGTTGGCGTACATGCACGTTTTATCGACAATCTCGTTCGATGGATTCGTTTGCCTATAAAGATGTTCGATAATATAATTACATGCGCGCACGTGTATGTGTGTGTGTCTGTGTGTGTTGGTGTATTTTGTTTTTCTTTATTTCTTTTTCTATTGTCATAATTGTTAAGGTCATTAATAATCATTTGGAGAGCAATTGTTACTTCGATTTCTTTGAGTTAAAATCGTGATATTTTTGGAAAATTATTAATGTAACTTTATTATTAATGCAATGGAAAGATAACAACATGTAAATATACGAAACTAGTTTGTAAACGAGGTATATAGCAAAAAAGTACGTAATCGTATATTCTCCAGTTTTTTCTTTTTTTTTTCTTTTTGTTTTGTTTTTTTTTTGTTTTTTTTTTTGTTTTTTTTTTGTTTTTTTTTTTTGATGGAGTATAACGAGCAGGTACGTAGAGCGAAAATCATAGAAAAAAAATGAAAGGATTTTTATTCAATGAACGATACAAAAAGAGTCGTTATCGGATTATACGTAATATAAAACATAATCTCATTTCATTTTAACATCTCAGCATTAATTATAACAGCGTATTTTATTCGTCGATGTAGCGATGTATATTTGTAGTTTTTTTTTCTTTTCTTTTTATTTATTTTTTCTTTTTTCTTCATTTTAAACAACGTAAAGATTTTACTTTATAATACTCCATACGTATTTTTTTGTTTTTTTTTTGTTTTTCTATTTCTAAGCAGAGTTTTGTTTATCCCAAGGTCGTTTCGTATTTGTTGCGATAAATTTGAGAGCATCGTTATTATACCATTTGAATTTAGGTTCGTTAGATATTTCTTTCTCTCTCTTTCTCTCTTTCTTTCTTTGTTCCATAATATTTCATCGCCTTTTGAAATAAACAATTCTGATTTTCCGTAAATTGTAATAGCATTCATGAAAAAATTGTCGAAGTTTATTTTACCTATTGTATTTTTTACGGATTAACGACAAAGTTGTATCAATCGTTATACAGGCTGATCAAACAGCAAAAATTGGTATCATCAAAATGTAAATGAACACGACCGATTGATTACGCTTTTATTTTGAACGTTCTTATCGCGTTGGCGCAGTGTTTTACAAGCGAGTTGCTTTACAACGAGCATCCTTTTTTATGGAGAATATTCAATTTTCAGGAAGGCAAAGTCGCGTCCGTGGGGTTTCTCTTCCTTCATTCGACGCGGACGACGTCTTAAAACCAGTAATCGTCTGTCCGCGTATGAAAAGCCTGTGAAGATGGTGAACGAGAGTGGAGGATTAACATAGAGACGAGCTCGAGCTTCGATCTTCGCCACGAGAAAATTATGTACGTTCCTCCTATTTGTGCCTTGTATATAATATATTATACTCGGGTATATACATCTTCTCTACATTGTAGTTTACGTGAAAAAAAAAAAAAGAAAAAACCGAAAAAAAAGAAAAAATGAAAAAAGATAATGAAAAACATATTAGCTCGCGTTAAAAAACGAAATTTGTTGTTTACATCGGTTTGATATAAAAGTCAAATTATATTTATTAACGTGAAAATAATTTACTTATACTTATGTTGTATAAACGAAAAGGGGAAAAAAAGATAATCGGTAGTTAGTTAAATAAGATTCAGATATGAAAATATAGTTGAGATATAACTATCGTTATATTTTAGGTTTAAATATCTCAAAAGATTAATTCCATATGGATTTGAACTTAAAAAAAAAAAAAAAAACCGTTTCTTTATCGAATTCTCTCAAAAGTATTTCATGTAAAGTTTTGAAATACGATAATTGCGTAAAAGCTTAATCGAATAAATCTTCGAGAACGACAAAAGATATCTTTGCCTGCGATTTTCCGTAACAGCAGTAAAGCTCGCGGGTTTTTGAAACGAAGAAAATGTTGCAGCTGTCGGAAGGACAAACAAGGGAAAGAGAGAGAGAGAGAGAGAGTTAAATTTTTCGATACGCTTTTGAGTATATCGAATCGTGCGGGAATTTTGACAAAGAATCTCTAAAACCTCGGTTTGTGCAGTTTTACGACAATGACGAAAGGTCAAGGAAGAAATAAATAGATAAATAGGTAAAGAGGGAGAGAGAGAGAGAGAGAAAGAGAGAGAGACAGAGACAGAGACAGAGAGAGAAACCGAGAAAGAAAGAAAAGATATGGATCGAATAAGAGCTCGCGATGGCGGTGGGCTTTTGTCATCGGTCGACCGTTTCGGAAAAGGGCGATCCGTGTCGGCACGTTGGAAGGAGAGGGTGACAAATCGATTTGAGCGTCTTAACACGTCCTTTTTCATTGTTCCTCCTTCTATTCGAAGTAGAATTTCTTTTAGCTCACCAAAAAAGTTGGAAAAATCGTCTTTGAATATGTACACCAACTTATCGTCCGAAACAAATTTACAGGATTTTCATTTTCTACAAATTTCGACTGGTGGAGGGAGGGGAGAAGTGAAGAAAAAAATCGAACGGATCGTTTCGATTCTCTTTCTCTCTTTCTCTCTTTCTCTTGATACTTACTATTGCAGTCCTTCTTTTTGCGTGGATGGTAAAAATGGAAGGTAGAACTACGAATGGAGGAGAACAAAATCGTACTCGATGAGAAAGGAAAATGGTATTTTCGTAACGAGCTTGCTGAAACGACCGATTTGCCAGAACGCACAGAGGCCAACGGCTGAGCGCAATTACCGAGAACGATATTTGTTTTATTAAGTCGACAAATGTACGGTTTCGAACGTAATGGACTTCTCCTGGAGGTCTCCCGCGGTTCATCGATTTTGAAAAATATCGAGGTCGCTATGTGGTCGCTTCGAGCGATCGACGTATATAAGATATATATAGTATGTATATGTACATACGTAGTATACCTACGTGTATAAATAAATTCCATAGTTATATACATATATATATATATATATATATATATATACATATATATGTAAACGGTGCCACAATCAAGAACAAAACAGTTTCGTCCCACGGCAAAGTTTCTTCGATTATATATTACTTCTTATATAAACAAAGCAATGGATAAATACAAGTTACCTTTCTACGCGTGTATATATGTATATATGTATCGTTATTGTATATATCGTTATTACATATATCGATATATATATATATATATATATATATATATATCGTTATTAAACATTTTATTTTTCTACTGCATCGTTGCGCTGAATACAAAATTGAGATGAATCTTCCTCTGACCTGCAACAAAATATGTGATATCTCTGAAAGTTTTTTATCGAACGATCACGCTCGATCTTTTCTCGTTGGAAATGGTAAAGAAAATAAAGATCTTTGGGGATACTCGATCGATTGCGGATAACCGACGACTTTACGTTATGGATGAATCACTTTTTAGTAACGCTTGGAACTTGTTTTGCCGCCAAACGATTTTCCTAAAAGTTTGATCGCGGCCGAGTAGCAAGGACCGTGTCACCTCTCGGTTTTACGACTCACGCTTTTCTCTTCCCTTTTTTCTCTAGCTTTTTTTCCTATTTCTCTCTCTCTCTCTCTCTCTCTTTCTCTCTCTTTCTCTCTCTATGTCATTCCGTTCTATCTCTATACCATTCGACCCCTTTCCGCAGGCAGCAGAACGCCAAAGTGCCGTTCGTGCGTGATCGTATCAGTGCCGATTGCATTACCGTACTGCAGTCTGTTTGCAAACTGCAGTAATAACCTCGACGCTCGCGTATTAGCTGCATTATATAACATGCACCGGTGCGTTTATCGACGTGTATCGTACATCTCTTTCCTTTCGGTCCTTTCTTCTTTCTTTCTCTCTAGTAACATCGTTGAAAATTCTTTCATTGCAAATGAATATCGACAAGAGAGTGAGCGATCGTGGATTAATTGAGAGAGATCGTTTCTCTCTCTTTCATCCTCCTTTTTCTTTTTTTCTTCTTTTCTTTCATTTTCTTTTTTTTTTTTTCTACTCCGAAATTATTCTCCAAGAAACTTTCAAACGCTCGATTAACGACGATCGCGAGTTTTTTCGCTAGAAAAATATTCAGGTATTTCACCATCTCCCTTTATCTCTTTTCCTTATTTTTTTTTCTTTTTTCTTTTACTTTTTTCGTTTCTTTTTTTTTTTTTTTTTAACGTTACCGATTAACTAACGCTGTAGAATGTTGTGGAAAAAAAATTCACAAGTTTACTCGATATGGTCATTAAAACTATCTTAAACTCGGGTATTTGATTGAAAAATTTAGCGTTTATTATATATTAAATATATAGAATATATTTCTTTAATAAGCATTATAAGTCTATTCTACTTTGAAACATTTCTTTTCTATAGAAAAGTACAAAAAACATTGTGAAGCGTTAAAACATCGTAATCTATGTATATCGAAATGAAAAAAAAGAAAAAGAAAAAAAAGAAAAAGGAAAAGGAAAAAATAAAGAAAAGGAAAGAAAAGAGAAAAAAAGAAAAAGAAAAAGGAAAAGAAAAAAGAAGAGATTTGAAGGTATAGTTAAATAGCGTACAACTAGAAGAAAGAAGTGGAATAGGAAGAGGTACTTTACGGTTCGTTGCGTGTCACTGCAGTGGAAACGCTGGCGTTGCTCGTAACGCGAAAAAGGAGGTGGGGGAGGAGGATGAAGAGTGAGAGAGAGAGAGAGAGAGAGAGAAAAGAGATAGAGGATATGTACGCGCATACACCTCGCTCAAATCCTAGCCGTTATAATTTCGTTGTCTTTTGAATTTATCTCCCGCAGGCTCTCAGCCTCCACATTTTTTTCTTTTTCATATAGTGGGCGTAGGCAACGTTTGACGAGCACGCTGAATAAGATATAAAAGGGGAGGGTGATGAAGAAACAAAAAAGAGGCAAGGAGAGAAAAATACAAGAAAAAAAAAAAGAGGAAGAACGATGACGAAGAAGAGGAGGAGGAAGAGGAGGAGAAAGAGGAGGAGGAGGAGGAGGAGAAAGAGGAAGAGGAGGGGGAGAAACTGGGAAACAAGAGCCATGAGAAACAGAATTATTCATATAGAGGGCGCTTCGCCGGAGGGACAATATTTGAACGTTTCGTTTCATGGACCACGTAGCTAATTTTACATATTTACAGATTTAACATCGTGAAGAAGTAAAATGAGAAAGAATAAGGAGAGAGGGAGTGGTAATTATGTTGATGATAATGGTGTTGATGATGGTGGTAGTGGGGATGTATTGTCCATTATTAACAAATAATAACTCGTTTCAATTGGCCAAGTTGCATTTCGCGAAGAACATGACTGGAACGTTTAAGGAATCAATTTGTATTTCTTTTTTCTTTCCCCTTTCTCGTTGACGTTCCATGTCAATTACAAATAGTCGAAATTACAAATCCTCGAAATTAATCGATTTTTTGTCTCCTTTCTTATCTCTTTTCCTCTTTATCTTTCAATAACCCGAGAGTTAGGTAAAGAAGAAGTGAAGAGCAAAGCTGAGAGAGAGACAGAAAGAGAGAGAAAGGGGGGAGGGAGAGAGAGAGAGAGGAGAGGAGAGGAGATAACTCTTCGTGATAGAAAACGAATTAATAATTGCAATAAAAGTTCGTCGAGTGCGTTCTCACGTCACATGCTGCGACTTATGGTTTAATGATTAATTAGTGGTATCTTTATTAATCATCAAAAAGAGGTTTGGGGAGAACAGAGAAAAGTTTCGCGCATTTTCGCGTTTCTTCTTCTTCTTTTTTCTTTCTTCTTTCTTTATTTTTCAAATATATCCATCTGTTCCTTTTTTTATTTCATTCTTACTATTTTTTGCTATCCTCTCATTGTTCTTTTGAACTTAACATTCCTTTATCAAATCCTATAATTATTATTGGCCGGTATAACGTACGCGTGTTTATCGTTAAGAAATTTTCTTAAGAGAATGACTGTTGTTTTGTTTTCGTTATTTTTTTTGTTTTTGTTTTTCTTTTTTTTTGTTTTCACCAACTTTCGAAAAAGCTAAGCTTTTCCTTTTATCCGAGATTAAGCACTGGAAATACGCGAAATATTTCATGGGGAAAAGGATAGACTTCGTGGCTTTAACAGAACGGAAGAAGTTTCGGATATTTAAGGAACCTCTAAAGTTGCGCTCTCTCTCTCTCTCTCTCTCTCTCTCTCTCTCTCTCTCTCACGCACACATACACACGCATACGCACATGTACACGTACATACATACATACATACATACATACATACATACATACACACATACGTACATACATACATACATACATTGAGAAAAGGAAGAAGTCCAATGAAACATTTCGCAGTATATATATATATATACATACGTACGTACGTACGTACGGAATGCCAATGTTTCTCGAATAGCGGATAGCTCAAATTCAGATTAT